ATACTCATGTAATATAAAAATTAATAAATATTAATTTTTGTCAACATAGTTTTTAAGGCACTTCTTCCAGGCACGTTAGCCTTTTCCGGGGAATTAATGGAACATGTACAAATTGAAATTAATCGTCAGAAACTAGACAGCGAAATTACAATATTTATATTCTAGCTCTAAATGGATCCGAGCAGTGCCGTTCGATTGACAATGTAGCCGCATAAATTCTAGCAATGAAAATTAATTAGAAAAGAATTCCCCTGCAATTAATTTGTACGCGAAGTAATTCTTTGCGAAGTGCGAGCACTGTGACGTTTCATGCAGATGCAATTTTTTACAGTGACAGCTATTAATATTCGGTCACTTTTTAAAACGCAATGAACTTTTTAAAACTAGAATAAACGATTTGAATTCCTTTGTTTTTAGGTGATATAGGGACTAGTATACTAAACAATGACTAAACCACTTTGTTACAATTTTGCTATTATTTGAAATGACAAGAAATTAAAAACTTTCGTATTTCAACTTTTTTTATCCAAGCCTATAAGAAGAAAATTTAAAAAATGCGTCTTTCTAAGCAACAGCAAAATTAAAAAAAAAGTAGACTGGTCGCTCTATGATTTAAAAAAAAATCGAGTCGTTTAGTCCAGTTCTAAAAAAGTTATCTTCTTTTGAAAAATATCCGAATATCAACGGGAGTCGCTGTGTGCAGGATATTTAGCAATTGGCTGCGAATAAAAATGTTTATGTACATTTTGCACGATCAGACGTATACCGGAAGCCTCGAGGCTCTTCGAATCCAGGGAACGACTCCTCGGCTTCGCGCCGAAGTAATCGTCCTTCTTTCCACTCTTTATCCATCTAAAATACGACGACATGTTGCATTTGCCACTTCCGACGCACAGTCACAACAATATCAGTCACATAACTTTGGACCCGGTGGCGCGTTAATTTGCGCTGCGATCCGGCAGCCTTACGCCAATCTTCTATTAAAACTATGCAAACGACGATTCGAAATGGATATGCAAAAAAATAACGTACGAACGAAATTGTCAGTTGTCGTTGAGATATGAAATGACACGCACGATTTTTTAGATCGACTGAAATAAGCAATTCGAACGATCCTAAACAAATACTTTCTCGGAACGAATAGGATTTTCTTCGAATCGACGACTACGAGCCGATCGACGCGAAATCCGAGGGCATCGCTTTTACATTTTTACGAGGCAACGGATAAGCTGACCGTCGCAAACATCGACTATTTTTCTTCGTGGCCTAATCGAATGAGGCTTTTGTTATTCGATGATCTTTAAATTACTTTTGAGCCGCTCNCGGATAAGCTGACCGTCGCAAACATCGACTATTTTTCTTCGTGGCCTAATCGAATGAGGCTTTTGTTATTCGATGATCTTTAAATTACTTTTGAGCCGCTCAAGCAAGACTGACGTTTCAAGGTGCACGCTGTGACCAGACGCGATAACGAGTATTTAAAATGCAGTTGCTCTTCATTTGCATTACAAGTTCAAGCTGTCCTTTTATCAGTCAATCTTCTCTCCGCAACTATGTACGTACGTATGTCGAATGTATTGCGCGTAATTAATCGCGCGAAAATGTGAACAAATCGGTCGAAGTTCTAACCGTTGCGCGAAACGATGTGCTTCGATATACAGGGTGTCCCAAAAATGTCTCGTGATCCGGAAATGGGTTCATCGGATCATTTGAAGCAACTTCTTCCTTTACAAAAATGTTCTCCGAGGCACCGTTAACAAGTTATTAACGAAAAAGAGTGACCAATAAGAATCGAGTACGGCCGCCTCGCGCCAGCTGAGCTGGGATTCGACCGCCTCGACCGCTGGCGTCGTTGGCTCGGTCGCCTCGCGCCAACTGAGCTCGCCTCTCATTGGTCACTGTTTTTCGTTAATAACTCGTTAACGGTGCCTCGGAGACAATTTTTGTAAAGGAAAAAGTTGCTTCAAATGACCCGAAGAACCCGCCACTTTCGGTTTGCGAGACATTTTTGGGACACCTTGTATTTCGTTCAATCCTTTGCACTCGAAGCCACTTTAACTCTGAATTCAAAATAGTTTTTCTAACTCACAGTATTTCCATTTTGTACGATTTAAGCGCATTTTATGTACATGTGGAATTGACTTTTATAACTCGTGCGACAATTTCGCTTTCGACAGTTTTTAAGTTATAAACAAATAACGTTAAAATTATTTTGAAATGTTACACAACAATTTAAGCGGTCGAAGTCGGAGTCACCAGTCGAGTGCAAAGGGTTAATATTGCAACTGCTTTGGAAGTTTTAACGAAATCGTTCGTTCTTGTCGCAGATTAGGAAACGACGATCGAACATTTCAGATTGGACACACGGTGCATCGAATGAAGGGGATCGAACGCGTAAACACTATGCGACGACAGTTTATACGCAACTGATCTGAAACAGATGTCATCGCGACGTCGGATGATCGATTACAAAATCATCGTATCGGCTCGGCTCGGCTCGTCGGAGAACAAATAAATCAGTACCGTTCGCGTCGGTCAGGATTGCCGGTCGCCTATCGTAAAAAGTTAATTAACTATTCATCGGAGAAGAGGTTACGCATTATATTTGTGAAAGGATAGAACGAACGCTCGAGCAACACGTTCGCTGAAACGTTAGCGACGTTGGAAGCTACGCTGCCGTCAGTTCGTTTTATGTTTTTCTGTTTTTAAATATTCACATTTCTATGTTCATTTAGCGATTGAAATTTTTATGACGAAGCAAGATTTATATCGCGTGGTTTACATTTTTGTGATTTACACGCGGAACGAGATTTTGTCCGCGTGCACAAAGATTGACGGGATCGATTAGTAAAATGACAAATGAAATTAATATATATATATATAATATATTAATATTATTAATTGTTATTATAATTATATTATTAATATACACTGATATTATTTATTATAATTATAATTATATTAATATATATTAATATAAATATTATTAATTATAATTATATGGGGTTAATATATATTAATAGTAATATTATTCATTATAATTATGATTATATTATTAATATATATTAATATAATTGTATATATATAATGATAATATAATAATATAATATATATATATAATATTAATGGAATTAAAGTTCCCCGTTACAAATAATATAATAGGATAAAATTCGAGATTCGAAATAAAATAACCTATGAAATTGAATGATGCGATTCGCGCGACAGTTACACTTCTAACAGTTTCGTTGAATATAAACAAATTCGACAATGTTGAAATTATTTTGAAACGCGATACAAAAATGTTTAATGGCGACTTTAGTAGGAGTCGCCACGCGACCGCGAAGGGTTAAAACCGCGACGCAATAGTGAAACGAACGCGCGATTTAATGCGTGTGCACCGCGCGGAATTATTCAAACGGAAATATATATCCGATCGACGAGCGAGGCATTTCCACGATCTCAAGATTACGCGGGTGACCCTTCCCTCGTCATATTCTCGGGCAAACAATGGCCGTGATTTACACGGGTTGTCGCTTTCATGAAATGTCCAACGAAAACACAAATGCGCGGCACAGTTCGCTTCTGCGAAACTGGGTCGGCAAACGGAGGAAACCCGGAGGAGACTGTCTCAGAACGATCAACGGGGGGGCCCGAAGATTTTTATTGATATACGGACACCGAGAAGATACTCTATTCCGCCTCTTGCGTCATCGAGATACTTCAAATCGCCGCATCGATTCGAATTCTGTTGGAAAGCTATTCGGACCTTCGATTCGGAAATTTATGTGCAAATAAGGATATTATTTATATTCAATAAGAAATTTCAAGGAAAAATTAAAGTAAATGGTCTTTCAAAGTTCCTTAGAAATGTGAACAAAAATACTGGTTTTCCCTTCTAACATTTTTTTATTTATTTCTGATATCGCAGA